CTCCCTGGCGGGGCGTTAGCTCTATGGTCAGGAGTCCCGGAGAGCGAGAACGCTTGCCAGGGAGTGGGGGTGCTGCTGTCTTCTCGGTTGGTCGATGTTATGACTGAATATAAGGTTGTGAACTCAAGACTTCTCTGGGTTCGCTTTAAATTGGGACTGACGAAGTTATTCCTTTTGGCTGTTTATGCGCCGGTAGCTTCGTCGTCCAGGGCTGAGCTGGAGGAGTTTTGGGAGAATGTAAGAGAAATTCTAGATTTAGCTAGGGGAAATGAAAGAATTGTTGTATGTGGTGATTTGAATGGATGGGTTGGTACCGCTCGACCAGGGTACGAGTCGGTACTTGGAAAGTTTGGCGATAAAAGGGTTAATGATGCTGGCAAGCTTATACTGGCGGTGTGCAAGGAAAAGGGTCTTCTTGTGACAAACACTATGTTTAATCACAAGAAAATCCATATGTATACTAGAGAACGAAAGAATGAGAGAAGTATGATTGATTTGTTCCTGGTGGATGACCGACTGCGAAAACAGGTGATGGATACGCGAGTGTTCAGGGGTGCTGACCTGGGAACGGATCACTATCTAGTGATTACTAGATTTAGGGGTCTGTTCGCGGGTTGGCGCTACCGGACGGCAGTAACAGAACCACAGTTGGTCTGTCGCATCCGAAGCTGGAAGCTTCAGGAAGCGGATACTAGGGACAAATATCAAGCGAGGGTAGCCGAAAAGCTTGACACCATCGATGGCAGAAAAGAATGTGTAGAAAGAACTTGGCAGAACCTTAGGGATGGAATGGTAAGTGCAGCGGAAGAAGTGTGTGGAACAATAAAATCCATATGTATACTAGAGAACGAAAGAATGAGAGAAGTATGATTGATTTGTTCCTGGTGGATGACCGACTGCGAAAACAGGTGATGGATACGCGAGTGTTCAGGGGTGCTGACCTGGGAACGGATCACTATCTAGTGATTACTAGATTTAGGGGTCTGTTCGCGGGTTGGCGCTACCGGACGGCAGTAACAGAACCACAGTTGGTCTGTCGCATCCGAAGCTGGAAGCTTCAGGAAGCGGATACTAGGGACAAATATCAAGCGAGGGTAGCCGAAAAGCTTGACACCATCGATGGCAGAAAAGAATGTGTAGAAAGAACTTGGCAGAACCTTAGGGATGGAATGGTAAGTGCAGCGGAAGAAGTGTGTGGAACAATAAAAAGAGGCAGTAGTAAAAGAAGAGATGCATGGTGGAATGATGAAGTGAAAGAAGCTGTAAAGAAGAAGAAGAAAGCATGGTTAGACTACTTGGCCTCTAGTAATGATAAGGATATGAGAGAGAAGATGAAAGAAAGATATAGGCTGCAGAAAGTTCACACGAAAGCACTGATTGAGGAAGTGCGTGAAAGGTGTAGAATGGAAGCGGACGAAAGGTTGTCGCACAACTTTAAGGAGAACTCCAAACTCTTCTGGAAAGAGGTTGGAAGGACCCGGAGTGGTGCGACGGCCTTAAGAATGAACAAAGTGCTTTCGAGAACTAATGACGTCCTCTCAGAAAAATCGGACGTCATGCAGCGATGGAGCGAATTTTATAGAGAAATGTATGCGTGTGATGATCTTAGTGAGGGATCCGGGGATGACGCCGTGACTGGTACGCCAGACCCGGACCTCGATGACACTGAGATCATCAGTATGAAAGAGATTGAACGAGCGATTCGAAGTTTGAAATGTGGTAAGGCTGCGGGACTAGACAGAGTTACTGCTGAAATGGTCAAGTATGGTGGGCCTCGCGTCTGGGACAGCTTTCATCTGCTGTGCAATTTGTGCTGGCGGACGGGGGATGTCCCGGATGATTGGCGATCCGCAGTCATTGTGCCTTTATATAAAGGTAAAGGTTCACATTTTGACTGCGGGTGCTATCGGGCGATCAGCTTGACCAGTTTAGCAAGTAAAGTTTACTCGAAGGTTTTGACACGTAGGATGCAAGAGAAATCGGAAAGATTTCTATGGGAGGCATAATGCGGATTTAGACCTGGAAGAGGATGCACGGATCAAATGTTTTCTCTCCGCATGATCACTGAGAAGCTTCTGGCTGCTAACCAGAAGATTTTCTGTGCTTTTGTGGATCTTGAGAAAGCATTTGATAAGGTTGTAAGGAAGAAAATGTGGGAACTGTTGCCGGGGTATGGTGTGGATGGTCGATTGCTAAGGGCTGTGCAGTCTCTTTACTGTGACTGTAAAGCCTGTGTGCGGGTAGGGCATGACCTGTCACCCATGTTTAACGTCCAAACGGGCGTAAAGCAGGGTTGTGTCATGTCTTCCTGGCTGTTCATACTGTATCTCGACAGCTGTTTACAGATGCTGAAAGATAGTTGTTTGGGTGTGAAATTGGGTGACATTAAAGTAAATTGTCTGCTGTATGCTGATGATGCAGTGCTTATTGCACCATCAGAGGCAGAACTGCAGGCATTAGTCACGTGTATGAAAGAGGAATGTGAAATTAAAGGTCTCCGTTTGAATGCTAATAAAACTAAGGTTCTGGTATTTGAAAGGGACGAAGAGAGAACGAAGTGTGAAATATGGGTAAATCAGGAATGTCTAGAACAGGTAAATGAAATTGTATACTTGGGGAGTGCTTTTAGCCGGGATGGAAGATGTGATTTAGATGTGGACAGGCGTGTCGCTGCCGGGAACAAAGTCAATGGTGCCCTGACTGCGTTAGTCAAAAGGCAAGGCGTAGCGAAGAGTGCACGCCTTGCAATACATAACGCAGTGTTGGTACCGACTTTGTTATATGGCAGCGAAACCTGGGTATGCCAGAAGAAGCATAAAAGTAAGTTGAATGCAGTGGAGATGCGATCTCTTCGTAAAATGTGCGGCGTTACCATGGCCGACCGAAAGCGAAACGAAGAGATTCGCAATATGGCAGGTTTGAAAGATGACCTTATCACAAAAATTGATAAGGGCGTGCTTCGGTGGTTTGGGCACGTTGAGCGAATGAGTGAAGACCGAATGGTGAAGAAAATATATAGCGCGAAAGTTAATATTAAAAGGTGTCGAGGTAGACCGAGACTAACTTTCGAAGACCATGTGAGCAAATTGCTCGAAGAGGGTAGGGTCAAAAGTACTCGGATACCTAGACGTGCATGCATGAAGAAGATAATGAATCTGAAAGAAGCGAAAGAGGTTTGTAAGGATCGTGACACTTGGCGATCTGTTCTCTCTGGCTACCCCGTCAGGGATTGTGCGTGAAGATATATATATATATATATATATATATATATATATATATATATATATATATATATATATAAACCTTTTGGAAAATCACTTGAAATGATTTTCATGAATTATTTATTTTGTGTAGTATAATTGTGCTTATTTAATAATTTAAAATTTAAAATTTTATACAGCAAACTTCAATATAAGTTATTTAAGAATAACTCAAAAACTATTGATCTGACCTTGATCAAATTCATATGGGACCACACAAGAACTATCAGCTTTCATATAAAAAAGAATCATCGAAATTGGTTCACCTAGTACAAAGTTATGAGGTAACACACATAAAAAAAAACATACAGTCGAATTGAGTGCCGTCTCCTTTTTGGAAGTCGGCAGAAAAGACTTCTAATGCTCGAATTTAAAAACAAATTTGGAGGGTCAGATGATGTCGACATACGAGTCAAAATATTGCTTCAATTATATTTCGTGTAGATAATATGCACTTGTGCAGTCATTACCGCGACCTGTGTGGGAAACCGCTGTACTATGGAGACGGGTCGTTGACATCAAGTGCAACGGGCGAGTGCGGCGTCATACGGATTCAACCATGCGTTGCGTAATGCTCGCTTGTGGTAGCGTCATAATGTGAAAACATAAAGAGTTTAAAAATCGAATGCAACCGTTACAAGACCTGATCGGGACTTTATTATTGTTATAATAGTAAAATTAAAAAAAAAGTAAAACTTACGAAGGTACGTACAACGAACATATTCAAAGATTTGATAGATTGAATAATAACAATTAAGTTTAGTTATACGCCATTTATTAAGAATGTCAAAATCTACACCGGTTTATAAACACTGAAGTTCGCAAGACCTCAGGAAAGAACTGGCAAGTAGCTCTAGGTTGTTCTGAAATACCATGTTATAATTTCTTTGTATACAACTTATAATAAAATAAATACAATGTCAAAAGTCTTTAATTTTATTTAAATGTGTTTTATATTAAACAGAGGACGTGCAAGTGCCGATCAAGAGTTATTTTCCCACATAAGAAAAAATATATTTCAATATTAATATAGTCTGAATATGTGCAAATATTTACCTTGATACCTGATTTAAGTTAAATTACGTTAAAGCAGAATAAAGCAAAAGTTTTAATGAAAGATACTATACTCATTACTTCAACACCTTTTCCTTAATATTATGGGTCACAGACAGTTCTATCGCTAGATGCTAGCGCCTATAGACACTGCAACTATCATCGATTATGCATCAAAGTGTACAAGTATAATAGGTATTGTCACCCCCGAGGAGATGGAATACTTCGTTACTAGTAAAATGGGAATTCGTATCGCTATACTCACCACACTAAACACAACAGTTCTTCCTCTAAGGAGCTTATCCATTTCTGCTAATATTTATACAGCTGGTACGTGACTATACCCAAATATCCTATACTTGTTAAATAAAACTGCTTTTACAGATTTTATCGAGTGTAATTTAATTTATTTTTATACCCGACATGTCGAGTGCTGTGTGGTTTAGTGTAGCAATGTGTAGTGTTCGCGTAAATATATTAAATTTTTACCAACATTTTTGTTTATGCTTGCTGGTATTCGAAACTAAGACCTGCGACATTTGTGTCCACGTACTATGATCACTGGATAACACGTTCGTCATACGACGTTACGGTTGTACGTATCTAAATAAATTTATTTAAAGTTTCTTATATTTAATTGTTACAGAGCGATGTCTCGGTGGAAGGGTAAAGTGAGGTAGCCGGCAGATGGCAGCAGTAAGCGCGGCGATGTATCGGCCCGGGGGCGCGCTCGACCCCCCGTGCTACGCCACGCAGAGGGTGAGTGTTTACTTCGCCCCAATAATAGATGGTGTTGGTTCTTAAACAAATTGTTTTAATAGTTATATTTCTTAGGCTATTCATAGTCTTTAGGTATTGGTGAAAAAGAAATATTATCCTGCAACATCTTGAAAGAAGATTCATGAGTTCATTTTTGGTGCTTCTTTGTAAATAAATGACGCAGCGGAAAACAGCAAAATATATAATATCATTGTCGAAATAAAATACCTAAAATTTTAAAATTATCTGCCTAAAATTAATACTTGTCAAAACCGTAAGAGACAGCTAGGCTTATCACTTTGAACTTGTTTGCAAGGACTTAAGACCTGGTTGAGGAGTTAGAGTGGTTTAATTCCTTACATAAAACGAAGAATTTGTTTAATAATTAGTTAAAGTATTGAAAAACTGATGCATTTCTTGTTTACTAATTGAAATAATCAATTCAATGAAAAACCTACGTGGAAGAGCTATGCTGCAGCTATATTAGTAGTATAGTTGTAGCACCAATGGGTCGGCTATACCGGGGAAGGACCACGCTCTCACAGTTTCGTTAGTCACACATGTTTCGAGTTCTTTTTTACTGGAAACGAGGCATTCCATTTAAGGCCTCACGGGTGACAACACATCTGAATTTTGATTCGTAGTCGAGGATAAATGTAGATGTCTATGGGCCACAGCAACTATCATGTGGACTGTGAGCTCGTTTGTCACCCTTATCTTATAAAAAAAATCAGTTGATTTGCTTATTAGGTACTTTATCTTACTACTACAAAATAACGAGTAGAGGCTAATAATTCACCGTCCCTTTCGTTCGTGGATGTCGTATCAGGTAACTGTAAGAAAGGCTAGATTGACCTCATAGCGATATACTATTTCGTATATACCGAATGTAACATTTCGTATATACCGATGTGTAAAATAGCTACTTAAATAATAGAACTAAAATAATACACAGCACAATACAACGGGTAGCAGCGCCAAAGTTACAAGTCATCTGCGAGTCATCCTATAACGTCCTTCGTACAAAGTGAGAAATCCATATCTAGTTTTGGACTATCGCATGCTGTTTAAGCAGATTCATATTAGCCCAATAACAAGTTTATGAAAATATTTTACTTTTTACTGAAAAAATGAAGAATGTATGCTTTTTAAGAAATTAAAAACAAATTATGAAACAATTTTCATGATTAAATTTTTGCTAAATAGGCAAGCAAAAATTTCAACTCTAAGGGTTGAAAAATGGGGCATGAAATATTTTATGTAACGATTCATATTAGACAAGGCCTCACTTATATATTGCCTCATCAGGGGAATATTTGCCATAGTTGCCACGCTTTTTAGTTGTTATTAGGTAAACGCTGCTGTCCTTCTCCTGCTATATTTCTCTCTGTTACCTTTTACGACAAACAAGGGGCGATATGGGGCAGTGGAGTTTCTTACACCGCCCTTTCACGATGTTCCGGCGATTTTCCTTAGTCAAATCAAAAGAGTAAAAAAATAACTTTTAATTAAAAGTAAAACAGCTAAACTTTGAAGCACAAAGAACTAAAGAATAAAATAATTTCACATTCTCAAGTGTTCTATTCACTTTGCCTTGAATTCTGAAGCTATTGTGTGGAAATAATTTAATTATTCCATGAAGCCTGATTTTAATTTTATTAAAATCAAAACTTCAATTTTAAAACATAAGACTAGTAAAGTCATGAGCAGTGTTCGTTTTCTATTTAATTAAGAAAATATATTATTTTTGCAAATGTATAGTTCTTTTTCGCTTTACAATACAATACGGTATATTACGAGAAACCCACAAATCATGTGAACATAGGTAAAACAACTATTAAATTACAGGTTAGCCAATTGTTAACAAGTGCTTACGTGCCGTTTACCGTTAAGGACAATTGCCACCGTAATAAAATCAATGTTTACACGTTGATGTGTAATCGCAATTTAGAATCTTGTGTTTCGAAATAGAAATTTGTATAATTTTATTACCTTACGGATGTGTAAGCTGAAGTGGCAATGGGCCGGCCATAAAGCTCGAAAAACCGACAATTGATGCGGAAGAAAGGTTCTCGAGTGGTAGTCTCGTAACGCCAAGGATGGTGTGACGATGTGGCAAGAGATGCAGGAAGTCAATGGGTGCAGATGGGTCAGGATCGTGCCATTCCTGAGGGGAAACCTATGTTCAGTGGTGGACTTGTGATGGGCTGTAATGATGATGATGATATAAGGAAAATACGTAAATGAATATTTTGCTTCAAGTTCAATAAAGATTTAAGCGATTTCAGAAATTGACGTGAAATAAATGATCATAACCAAGATTCAGTTCAAAATGTCAACGTTTTAATAAAGATATATGAGAATATGAGATATAATTAGCCTGCAAGAGTTTAATCCTATCTAAGCATATATGTACACTTTATCTAACCAAACCTAGAGTGCCCTCCACATACGGTACGTCAAATAACGTTCTTACTTTTATGATATATACTACTTACTTATCCACTTATTTTGTAAATACAAAATGTTATCTCAGTATTTTATTAAAAAGAAATAGACAGTTGTCTATTCACGTTTAGAAAATAATTTTCAATGTTTAGATTTATAAACCGTGTGAAATTGCTCTTCTTAGCTCAGCAAACTTATCGATATTAGATGGTGCATCACTTCACTTTCTTCCATTTCATTTTGCTTATTGTCTCGACTTATAAAGATATGTTTACATTCTCACAGTGATTAAACCATCTCACTGTAGAATTTAAATGTTATTCAATTAGGTGTAACAATAAAGATTTCATTGCCAGGTAATTACGAACGAATAACTAAAAAATAGTTACTTTCTTACTACGGCGTAATTCAAAATCGAATTGTTAATATGCGAATATGGCAACTAAAGAATTAAATCTAAGTAAAATTACCGTGTTACACCCTAATATACAATCCTTTGTAAGTGATTGAATTTTATGAATGAATGAAATTATTTATTGAAATTGAAGTCTATGATTTTTTCTGTTCAAATGCATCATCTGAAATAAACTTATGTCTATATTTGTGCAAATTAAAACACTAATTAATATGCATACTATATAAAGATGCACAGATATATTATGGGAAATACAATTACTCTATGTATTTAGTATTATTTTCGAAATATTCTTGTAACTTTAGCTTGGTAGCTCAAAGGGCTAGGTTAACCATAAATCTGCTTTACATTACATTGAGGGCTCATTACCGTTATATCAAACATCTGACGCATGTATCTGTTTACAACAAGGCGTATATTCGTTCCCATTTATATGTATAGCATCCAATTTGTGATTTCAACTGCGAAAATCGTTAAGATGTTTCGTATGTAATAAATAGAATAGTTATAACGTTTTTACGTGGTCCCTGCCATACATGGCAGTCTCCAAACCGTGCCTCTCCACGGTCTACAGTTATATTATGACTGCAGCATGATTTGACTTGGTTAGAAAGAAACTCTTTGATTAAATATTCCTGTTTTTAGTTATGTACTTTTAATAGTTTACGATATGTTGAAATAGCTCAGCATGTTTTCAAATATGTTTGTCCTGTAAATCAGGAGGCTTTTACTCTTCGACTTAATCAGGAATATATGCTATGGAGCTATAGATTGGGCTTGGTGTTCCTTTGCGTGATAAACTTAGGAATGAGGATATCCGCAGTAGAACCAGAGTGGCCGACAGAGCTCAACGGATTAGTAAGCTCAAGTGGCAATGGGCCAGCCATATAGTTCGAAGAACCGACAACCGATGGGGAAAAAAGGTAGGCGAAGTGTAGGGCGACCCCCACTAGATGGAGTGACTAACGGTAAGACATGCAGGCAGTCGATGGATGCAGGAGGCTCAGAACCGTGCTTTGTGGCATAACTTGGGGGAGGCCTATGTTCAGCAGTGGACTTGTGAAAGGCTGTACTGATGATGATGATGATATAAAAAAGGCGTCGAGAATTACCCATACCAGAGAAAGATATAAAGATGTTTGAAAGCGCTAAAATATTCAAAATGACTTGAGGGTCGGTTTAGGCAGCAAGCTTGACACAAATTTCTCTAAGTCTAGCCAAATTTCTACCAATTTGATGAAAGTCCACTGATCGCAACGCATTACTATATTGTCTCACATTTAGAGTGCAAATACAGGGCGCTCGCCATTATTTTTCTATTCATATTCGATCTCCACTTACGGGTTTAGAATGGAGGTAAACGTTGGCTGTAGAATGGGACTCAGATTCTCTTTATAGCTATTTCGAATTGGTATTGTGTTGAATTGATCTTTCTCCGGTTATCCCGACCCTTTTGAGTTGCAACCATATTAGACCTACAGAATGACTACCATGTAAATTCTAAAACGTACAAGATACGATTTAAATTTGGAAAATTTGTCTTCTAAAATCATATTTTGGATTATATTGTCTCTGATAATAACATTTAAAAGGGATAAAATATCTTTTGTCGGCTTTAGCATACACGCCGTAATAAGAAATGAACACAAAAGCGATTCGATGAAAGTACGCCTACAATAATACAAAAGTAATGAGATGTAAGAAAATATGTTAATATATTTCTTTTGACTAAACAAGTAGCGTTTTCACAAAGAAATGCGAATGACAGTGTACTTTAGCATTACTGAAATAAGTAAGTCTATGTGTCTACGCCTCATTTTCGAAAGAAGCGTGATCAGAATAATTTGTTTCTTAAATTTGACTTTTAGTGTGCTTAAACTTTTTAAAGATATAAATCTAAATGAAATTTGTTTTAGATTTTTATATTTCTCAATATTATAGACGTAAAGGCGCGTATTATATTAAAAACTACATTTACTAAATTAGTGGGCCGACCGAAATCAATCGATAAATCTAACTCGGGCCAAAAAATTTGTACAATTATTTGTAGTTACCTCAGAGTATAAAAGTATGCAACTTGTGCATGCGATGACTGACACCTGGACGTTATTGACTGATGATTGTTTATGAAGGTTTT